TAAAGGAAGCTATGGTGTTGTTTGCTCCGCATATGATACACATACTGGAGAAAAGGTTGCGATTAAGAAAATAAATGATATCTTTGAACACGTATCGGATGCCACCCGCATTCTTCGCGAGATTAAACTTCTTAGGCTCCTACGTCATCCTGATATTGTGGAGATCAAGCACATCTTGTTACCACCATCCAGAAGGGAATTCAAAGACATATATGTTGTCTTTGAACTTATGGAATCTGATTTACACCAGGTTATTAAAGCAAATGACGATTTAACACCAGAACATTATCAGTTCTTTCTTTATCAGCTTCTTCGAGGCATGAAGTACATACACACAGGTAGTTTCATACTTTGTAATGACCTTGTTCGCAGTTTCTTACAAGATTTAGCATTACTGCAGATTCTTTTTACCTCAAACTCAATTGGATCCTGACAATACTAGTTCTGATTTTCTTTATATATTGGTTTTTGTAGCAAATGTCTTTCACCGAGATCTAAAACCCAAAAATATCTTAGCAAATGCTGACTGCAAGCTCAAGATCTGTGACTTTGGTCTTGCAAGAGTAGCTTTCAGTGATACTCCTACCGCTATATTTTGGACAGTAAGTTTCTCATTTAATAACTTGTGAGTTTCAATTTCCACTTGGCATCAGATTTCAATGTTTTCTGCAAATGTAAGTTGTTCAGGTCTTATCTATAACTTTCTCTTATCTATGCAGGACTATGTTGCCACAAGATGGTACAGGGCCCCTGAATTGTGTGGATCATTTTTCTCAAAGGTGCAAGAGTGATTATCCCTTTCATTATTTTGGATGCAGTTTGATCTTTTCATCTGGTATTGTAGTTGTAGCTCCGTGTGCTATAATGATTCTTTAAAAAGTTTCCAACTGATTCTTTTTGTGTGTGTGTGTGTGTGTGTGTTATTGCCCCATTGCATGCAATGCTTCTTCATCTCTTATTTTCTCCGATTCACTTCTAATTTTGCGGTGAACAGTGATCCCACCATCTGCCCTTTTCTCCTTAACTTACTTTCAATAGATTTAGGACATTTTATTTAATCTATTGTCATGGTTTGTAGCCTACAAGGAACTCAGCTCCGACCTAATATGCACTAGCAATCCTATATTGGTATTTTTTCTTCTGTTGGAAGAGAAATTAATTAATTAATTTTGGCATGCACTGGCAATCCTATATTGTTAAGTGTTAACCCTTTTGCTAACAAAGGCTTTGCCTGGAAAACAATACTGCATCTGTAACCCTTCCTATAATGGGTGCCGTTTGACAGATTGTTAATAATTTTATACAATATAATATTAGAATGAGCCATACCGTCACTATCTTCTATGAAAATCTTTCTTTGGTTGGCCTTCCATTGTCTGTGAGGTTAATATTGCCAACTATTAGATATTGGGAGTACGTATACTTCTTATATGGCATTGAACAGTAACCGTTTTAAGTTAGGTCATGCAGTCACCAATCATAGCCATCTCAGTCTACTGCAATGAATGTGTTCGTTTTACTGCTTCCTTTTCCAGGTGTGACTTTCAGTCTATTGACACTCTGTTTTTGATTTTCAGTATACACCAGCAATAGATATATGGAGCATAGGATGCATTTTTGCGGAGCTCTTAACCGGAAAGCCTCTATTTCCTGGCAAAAACGTTGTCCATCAATTGGATCTGATGACTGAACTATTGGGAACACCATCTGCCGATACAATTGCCAGGGTCAGTTTGCTGTAATAAATTTATTTACAGTATTAACAAATCCTGGCTATATGTTATTTTGTGTACATTTCATTGTCTGAGTTACTGTTTTCTGAGTCTAATTCTAAATTTTATCAAACAGGTACGCAATGAGAAGGCGCGCAGATACTTGAGCAGTATGCGAAAGAAGAAGCAAATTCCTTTCTCCCAGAAGTTCCCTAATGCAGACCCACTTGCTCTTCGTTTATTAGAAAGAATGTTGGCATTTGAACCAAAGGATAGACCGACTGCTGAAGAGGTAAATGTTAAATGCAAATTTTTCATTACTTTTTACTATGTATAAAATTCTGCTAATGGAGATATTCTTCTGCTTCGTTTAGGCTCTTGCTGATCCCTATTTTAAGGGTTTGGCAAAGGTGGAGAGAGAACCTTCTGCTCAGCCTGTTACCAAGATGGAATTTGAATTTGAGAGGCGAAGGATAACCAAGGAAGATGTAAGGGAGCTCATTTACCGTGAGACTCTTGAATACCATCCAAAGATGTTGAAGGAGTACTTAGAAGGATCTGAGCCAACTGGCTTCATGTATCCAAGGTATTCTCATCCTAAATTTTATCTTATCAACCTAGTTTAAAATAGCCTACTCATACATTTCTCTTACAAGAGTCTTTTGTAGTTATAATCATGTAGATGTTCATTGTCTGGTCAACTTTCTGCATCTCATAACATCAAAATGTCTGGTCAACATTGTCGGTGTTTTAATAGAACTGTTACTCTGAGTTGTGAAAAGTTGAAGCACCTCGAAATAAAACCCTGACTGCTCTTCCCAGTGAAGCAGATGATTTCTCATGCTAACGTCATGATGATCTGATCAAACTTTAGCACTGTACCAGGCTTCCATAAGAATGATTCTGTGATATTGCATCTGAAGCGTATAAACAAAGAAAACTCAAATGCACTACTTTAAGCCTCTTAGGGTTTCCTAGTGTAGGAAGGTGAACTGTCACTCTCAGGAGCCTTCACAGTTTGCTATTGAGGTGGGAGGTATATAAGGTACAGGAATCGGTATACAAGTAAGATAGATATGCACGTCTTACAATCTTGAAAAGGCAAGAACTATGGCTTTATAATGTTAGTAGACAGAGTGTTAACAGATATTAGGTCTATTTCATGTAATCAAGTATTTGATTTGGAATCTAAACCTTGAATGTCAAATTTGGTGGATGAATAACATGCAAACCACCAGGAGAGCATGCAAACCAAGTTTCCTCCGATTTGTGAGCCTTATTGCTCTTCAAAGGAGAAAGGTTTATCTTAATTTTTAATATACTTGCTTTCTCAATACAGTGCTGTTGACCATTTCAAGAAGCAATTCACTTATCTTGAGGAGCACTACGGAAATGGCACAACAGCTGTTGCACCTGAAAGAACACATGCATCGCTACCCAGGTATCCCTTGTAGCTCCTGTTTTCTAAGCATCACCTGTGAATTCTATTAGTATTCTTATCGAATTGTTCGCAATCTGATTCGAAATCTGGTGATTGACTAAATTTTGTGCTTGTAGGGCATGTGTTTCATATTCAGATAACCAGGTACAGCATTCAACCAATGTCACAGATGACCTCTCAAGATGCTGCATCAAAGAAGCTGAGAAACCACAGACGGACAGGAGCAGTGGGGTCCCTACGACAAGGCTCCCAATTCAAGTTCCTCATACCATCCAAGGTGCAGACATGATTACAAATAAATGTTGTTAACAGGGTGTCTGGTTTTTCGCCCTCTAGATGCTCTTGCAATATTTATTTTGTTCCCATTAGTCACTTTACTTTTTTTTTTTTAAACTTGTAACGCTGCTTTTTGATGCAGGAGCTGCAAGGCCTGGGAAAGTTGTGGGGTCGGTATTACGCTTTAATAATTGCGGCGCAGCAGCTACAGCAGAGGCTCTTGAGCAGAGAAGGGTGGTGAGGAATCCAGGTTCTCCGGCTCAATACCCTGCTGCAAGTGCAGCTTCATATCCGAGAAGAAATCTGCCCTGTAAAAATGAGAGGGGAGAATGTGAAGGTGTTGAAGGTTCCAACGGGCTGCAGCCAAAGCCTCCTCAATACATACCAAGGAAAGTTGCTGCTGCTCAGGGTGGAACTGGTAGCCAATGGTACTGACTCTTTGGCGGGTTTATATGGTGGAATCCAATATAGCCATAACAAATGTTAGATGGAGCTGTTATCCACCGCATGCTAACCAGGATTGATCCATCACTAATTGAAACTTCATCAATTTAAGTGATTCGAATAACAGTTCCGGAGAATGCCACATCTGCGTGAAAAAGATTGAGCCCTTTCTATCTCCACCAGAGGAAGTTTAGCGAACAATTGTACTTTATATCACCAAGTGAAAGTGAAGGGGTTGTATGATCTGTCTTCATGATTCCGCTACTCTCTGATTCGAATCAGAACAAAGACGTGAAGGGGCACGTGACAACTTGGAACGAAGAAATGCCAAGCTATGCATCGACTTACCTGGTTCTTTTCATCTGTCCTTTTTTTACCATAGTAACTGTTGTAATTTTTCGTTTTATACCTTCTGGCGTAACGTCAATGTTTGTAGATTCACCTTGTATTGTTTTCTACTTGAAATAATGATCTCTCTCACCCTCCTTTTATTGAACATGTTTGGAAATCTGTGGGGGTTAACTGGTTTGATTTTGTGGTACTTTTACTGGCAAATTTAAACTTGTTTTGCTTTGTTAATTGGGTTAGGTGCTTCGTGCTTGAATGGTACAGTGAAATACAACCGCTTTCAATTTTATGTTCTGATCCAGTCTGATCCAGACTTCATTGATCTACCTTCATGCATGCACCTATGCATCTAAGTCCGTCATAATAGTGTGTGAAAATCATTTTCCTTTCGTTATCAGTGAAAATCATTTTGATTCAGTTTATGCTAAGGGCTTGTTTGGTGTCGAAGACTCGATAATCATCAAATTGTTGGATAACTTTCAATGCTCATGGCATGGTGAAGGAAAAAATGAATAAAATCTGTCACCAAACGAGCCATAAATCGATTCTTAATTTTCAGCAGTCTGAAATTCTGGGAGTCGGGACGCGCTTAGAAAACCTCACTTGTATCTAAATTTATTAAACTTTGATCTCCTCAAGCAAAACATGCGCGATGAATCCTCATAAAACAATCAACATGTCAATATATATAGTATCAAAGCTGACGAAATCGAATGACGTAACTTCGTAAATTCTACATATTCAATCACACGAGAGGGATGACAGAGCACAAAAAGTGATAATAGTAAAGATGCTGCCATTTTTCATCATCTATAAAAACGACAACTCCAATCTGGACCAAGAAAAAATGCACACATACTACAGCCAGAGCCATCATCCGAGGTTTACAAACTACATCACCAACAGATCCTCGACAACACGAGATATTACAAACAAACAAAAAACCAACTAACCACTAATCCTTCTTTTCGAAGAATTAGCCAGTGCAGTACAAAATATGCATCGTAGAAAGCTCTTGTTTTTATTTTATTCTTCTAATTGCTTATTTTCCAAATCAATACAACCTTGCCTTAACTCGCCTTCCATTCCCATCAGTGCCGTCTAATAAGTTCCCCTTCCCGTACCCAGAAGTAACAAAAGAATGATCACCACTACTTGCAACGTAACGCAGTAGCTCGGTGATGACTGAAGGGCAGCTTTCCCTCAAGTAGTTAAATCCTTCAGTTTCAATCACAGCTGAAAACAATTTACCAGCCTTTTTGTCAATATAAAGTTATTCAACAGACAGCAACACAGACATTCAATCCGCATTATTAGAGTAAATGAAAAGAAAAATATATGCCTGAGAAGTTCTCATTTTCCAACCAACAAGTGAAACCTCTTTAATTCAAAACCAAACCCAAACCACCACAAAATGGAAGTCCCCTCCCCAATATGCATGAGAAGTTCACTCATATTTGAACGAAAAAAGAAGATATTGAAGAATCGAGGAACACTGGGAGACCAACAATGGACGATTTTTCTATTTTAAAAAATAGCTGTCTAGAAATATTAACAGTCAGAACAAATCGGATAAAGAAAAAAGTTTACCTCTTAAATTTTCGGGCACTGCAATAAATTTGAGGCATACAGCTCTAAGTTGTTCACATTGGTGTTGCTCTGCCAAGGCTAACGTTGTTGCAACATTATTTATGGCAACATTTTCGCAAAGTTTAGCCTCACACATCAGTTTGAGCCTCTCGAGGGCATAGCGATCAGCCGCTGCCAGAAGATGTTGGGCCATTACTGTAGACGCCCAGCTTGAATTTAGCAGCCCCACAAGCTCTTGCAAGTCTGGTAGAGAATCCCAGTAGATGAAGTGAAGTAATACCTGCAGAAATCCAAAACAAGAAATCAATCAAACTCATATGTTCCCTTTACTAGAATAGCAGAAATCAATCAAACTGTTAGCAACCGTCTTCTGTGCATAAAAGATGTATTGAAGAGGGAACAGGGCATTGTCAATGCCAATGCTAAATATGCAGTAAAATAACAAAGACAGAAGTAACACAATGAAATACTTGGTAGATATGTTTCCATTAAATATTTGAATTAAGTTAATTTAATACATGTGTTTCATAGTTGAATAATGCAAAAACAAAACACCTAGCTGCATCAGATACACACTTGAAGGTTGCATTACTATGAACTTTTTATCCTTCAGCAAATAAAAACTCACATTTTAGAACAAAAAAAGAGCTGCAAATAGGTAACATGTATAATCAGCCACAATGAAACTAATTCTCTTGTACACATTGAAGTCTGCAGTCAAAATATAAAGCTAATAAACAAAAATGACATCTCCTTTATCATCTGTTACTATATGATTTAAGATTGTAATTTGAATTGAAGAAGAGAGTATTCATCCCTAAGCACACCCACCAATCCATATAAACAACAAAATAAAGTCATAAAAAAGCATGAACAGCTTTACTAAATTGGTGATAAAGGCAGAAAAAATTCATGTATATGATCTCCTAGTTTATGCTTCCTATAGAAATGTCCTGCTTCATACCATAACATGAACACTTTCTTTGAGACAATCAAACTTCTGCTAAAGTTTGAAACTGATTTCTCAGCCATATGCGTCAAAAACGAAAATCAAAGCATATTCCCCATTCATTTTAACAGTTATACACCTATTAACGCTTTTGCTGGGGGGAACGAAACGTGCAGCGGAAGAGAAGCCTTCATACAGAGAGAGCAAGAGTACCTTAAATGCGGGAGCTTCAATGTCTTCAACTATTATGAAATCAGTGTTTTTATCTTTTAATGGACCAAAAAGTTGTGCCTTGAACACAGGCGAGCGTGCTGCGAGCACCACTTTGTGGGCAGCAAATACTTCTTCGTCAACTTTGAAACTTACATCAGTCAACTTCCCACTTTCTAAAAGCTTACCAAAATGCTGGCCGATATTGGAAGGTGGTTCTGCTATATTGTATGTTTTAGGTCCTTCTGTATTCGTCTTAACAACACCAACACGACATTTTATTATAAGGCAATCATCTTTAAGGTAGTCCGATCCCTCTAAAAGACTTCTTTTGTAGAAGCGTTTATAACCCCTGCAACATCCAAAAGTTGAACCCAGTTATGTTTTTCACCCACAGCATTACAGGCAACAATTTATGTCGTATACGCTATATTTATTTGCGGAAATCCAGGCCCAAACAATTACGGTGTTTTGCAATGCTCACTAGCAATGCTAATGACAGCTTTGCCAAAACATGAAGTACATAATACACTCTGCAAACAATGGCCAAAACTTTTAAGTGGTTATCCAGTTGTCAGACGAGACCATATAAGAGAAGATAATACTGTTTGGTCTTTTACTTTCTTTACATTTAAACAAATTTTATGAGGTATTTTATCTCCGAATTGCATTCAAGGAGCTTTAAGTTTGTGGCGGAAGTCGAACTAAAATGGTTAAACTTCAAACCTTGAACATCATTCGTTTAACCAATTCAAGGAAAATTTTCACACTTTTAAACACACAATATGCAATCAGAATCCAATACAGACATATATACATACAACTTAAAACAAAATTATACATCGAAAGAGTAATTCACAATGCATACCACATGCTTCCACGGTATTTAAGCGTATAAGGACCGCCATCGAGCATCCTCAGAAAATGGCTATGCACCTTGTGCCGTTGCCTCTCGCTCTGATCCAAAAGCGTCAATTCGAACAACGCCCTGACGTCGGTGCCCTCGCTGGCCAGAGCTATGAACACCGACACATACCCGGCGTGGTCCTCAACGCTCTTGCCATCCGGGTAGAAATATATAGCCCACGTGTACCCACCCACCACAAACGAATCGGAGGCGACGTACTTACCGATTCCCATACCCTTGGCAAGGGAGTACCCACTGATCTTAAACTCGTGGCACCCATTTACGGTCTCCGTGCACGACGTCGAGCACGTAACCGGCGGAGCCAGCGGCGCTGGGGACGAGCTGTGTTTTAAAGCTTCATTGCGGACCCCGATTCTGTCCATTAACAATTACTGGCCGGTGGCGCGAAAAGGATCGATTTTGATGTTCTGGGGTTTCTCAGGGAGGGAAATTGTTAAAGGGGTTGGATTGTATTTGGAATTAGGGTTTTGATTGAACAGTGTTGGAATGTAAAATTGGGGGGTTTTGGGGTTGGAGTTGGTGGTCCAAACTTGAGGATCGGAAGGGTTGGAGCGCGAGAACAGAATTGGCGGGCGGCGGCGATGTGGGTTCGTGGTGGGTTGGCCGTGGATGGGGTGACCGTGGTGAGATTAATATTTTGATTCTGATTGAGTGGGGGTAATGGTTTTTATAAGGTTGGAATGAGGTTCGAGTTCTTACTTTTAAGGAAACAAGACGACAACATATAACAATCAGAATAACATTGATTAAGCAATTAAATATGTCAATAAAATAAGCAATTAAAAGATATAACAACATTAACACTCATTTTCTCTTGTGGGAAATACTTTTTAATTTGAGAAATCCTAATGAGACTCTATGAGAGTGGGACTCTCTATAAACTATATATTACTTCACAATTTAATTTTAATTTTTGTGCTCACATTATAAAATATTGTGTTAAAATGCAGAGTTCTACTTTTGAAAAAGTCTCTTTAGCATTTTTATTTTAATTTTTGAAAGAAGAATGTGGATATGTTTTTAAAATGACTGAAAGCGTTTTTGATAAAAATATTTTTGGAAACAATTCTTAGTAAATATGTTAGTAAATCCATGAATAGCACTTAAAGTGTTTCCCGGAAGAAACACAAAATTGGTGCTTCTTTTAGAAAAACACTTAAATATTTTTGAAATTCAAAAACATTTTCTCTAAAAACACTTTCAATCATTTTAAAAGCACAAATCAGTAAGTTGTTTCTGATGTAGAAATAAATTTGGAAAGTAATTTTAAGGTCAAATCTCAAGTTTGGTCCTGTAATGGTTTAGTTGAAGTTCATTTTGGGTCACTGGTTTCAATGTCTCTATGTCCTTGTAATTTAGTAAATGATGCAATTCAAGGACATTTAACATTTTCCGTCCATTTGTAAATTTGTAGACAAAATTTACAAATAAAATGATTTGTCACCAATAGGAATGATCACGTTTATCAATGATTAAGTAATAATTCAATCAGTAATTTTCATATCATTCAGTTTACAAAATTTTATCTATAAGTTTAATCTCTCTAACATTATCCTATGCAATTGCCCAACATCCACATCAACCCAGCAAAAACTCTAAACAAAGCCACAATTCTTTTCTGGTTATCTTGCTAGTAGCTAAACAAAGCTATATATATTGAGAACACAAAGTAGGCAAGGGAAACATGGAAATACTACTTGTATGGTCTGATATAAAGCATCCATGGGAGCAAATTCTTCCTTGAACAAATACCAATAATTAGAAAACAAATTAAGTCACAAATGGGAGCAAATTTCCCCCCAGGATTGAATTGTCGAAAACATACACACACAAAGAAAAGAGACAAACAGAGTTGGACCAACACCGGGGTGGTATTATCCAAAGGGTCTTCGATGCTTAAGTCATAGAAATTGTAGGAAGCAATAAGGGTGTGGTGAGAGTTCTTGATTACCAAAATAAAGTGGCTGCCTTGGCTATTTAAAGAGAATTGAGGAGTTAACCTTAGTGTCTAGATTCTTTGAACCTGTTGTCAGAGTGTTATCTAGTATGCAAACCGATGGAGGAATATTCTTGAGATTCCGAGAATATGCTTCAGATAGTCTTGCTCTGCTAAGATAAGGATAGGCAAACCTATTGCATATGAGGGTAATCTGTGTATGTCGCATGGCGATCGAGTTGGACCGTTGACGATGAATTGGGCATGGGGGCCTTGATTGTGGACTTTTAAGGCCTTCGTAGAGAATGTGGCCTATTAGAGTTTGACTAACAGTCTGCATATGTTGTTAAAGAATAGAATAATCATATTTGATAAATTGTACACATGACGTATTCCCGTTAGTCTGAATATTTTATGGCCCTACAATAGCCTTATAGAATAAAGCATTCTGATCTCACATGGGTGGTTTGCGCGTCTAATACCTTCAATTCTCCTCCTAGCCACATGGTCATCGATTGTTCTACTCATTAACAACAGAAACTCTCCACAACACCACCTGTTAGTTTGTTCAACTCTTCCTTATTGTTTTCCAATTTATTAAACATGCCAAAAGGAGATGAAGGCGTCCTAAATTTTCTTGAAATGACTAGAATGCCCATGCCTGTAGTGGCACATTTCATTAAAATATCTTTGAATTGCATCGTTTGCTAAACTATAAGGACTTACATTGAGACAATTAAAAACACGGGAGCCAAAAGTGAACAACAGCTAAACTACAGGAACCAGAAATGAGACTTAGCCAATTTTTAATTTCAAACAACAAATTTCTCATCTAATGCTTGTTTACTTGAATTAATTTGATATTGGCCTCTCTCTTACATGGAGCAGTTTGTAATCTTGTCAGCATCCCAATATGTTCCATTGGAACTCAAAGGAAGCCTCAGATTGTAGATGACCTCACCCCGCTGAACGGTATACATGTCCTGGAAAGCAATGACCACGTCGATACTATAAAGCTCAGCTGCTGCAGGGCGGGTCACTGATTGATATTGCTCGAACAACATATCGTGCCCTTGAACGATTACATTCTGAAAAATGGTTGTGTTCTTGGGTGTCAACGACATCGACCGATCCATCAAAGTCACCTGCCCAATTCTCTTGTCTTGATAGTATGCACTGACTTTGACGTCAATCAACCCGAGGAAGAGTTTCTTCTTAGGGTTTGTGAGGGTGATGTTGAGGGCGAGGTTGTAGGAGAGAGTACGGTTGCTCTCGGTGTAATCGAACTGGGTGAGATGAGCGCCGTTGACGGTGAAGTCGGGGCATTTGTACCCCGAACTACTTATTTCGGGCGACACCCTGAGCCCAATGAGAAGAGCAAAAGCTATGAGAAGAAGAGCAAGCATCAAGACCCAAAATATTTGATCGCACGCTGATAACGGAGTGCTTTTAGTTGCAGAAATGGGTACGGAATCGGGATTCTCGCAGTCGTCTGAGCTTTTAGCTGTAGATATGGGAGTATAAGTTGCAGACATGGCTACTCCCATGGCTAAGATATATGATAGAGAGAAGAAAGAGGGCACTGTTGCGAAAACTGGACTGAATCATGAGAAACGAGGCTGGGCGTTAATATACACACACACACGACTTACAGGGACATTTCTAATACGCGTGGTAGGACTAGGTATTACAAAGGCAATTCTAATACGTGTAGTGGGTGGTTTACGTGTGGCTTCATTTCCTTTTTTGAACAATTCTTTAACAAGAAAATATAAATCAGTTTTTTATATTAAAAACCGAAAAAACATGATTTTAACATAAAAAAACTAATTTCTTACACGCGTAAGCATATGGGAGAGACTGTCAAATAATCAAAGAGACGGGTCAAGGACCCACTTTCAACAACACCGATATTATCACCAACTTATTAATTACCACCTGCACAATTGGTGATGGAGTCAGAATATTATAACAATGGGGTCATAGTAAATAAGCGGGAAAATTTTATAGGATGACAATAAGGTCAGCAATGCTTTATGGCACAGAATGTTGGGCAGTGAAGCATCAACATGTACATAAAATTGGTGTAACGAAGATGAGAATGCTTCGTTGAATGTGTGGGTGCACGAGAAATGATAAGATTAGGAATGAAGATATCCGAGGTAAAGTAGGAGTAGCCGAAATTGAAGGAAGGATGAGAGAAAATCGGTTATAGTGGTTTGGACATGTGAAACGAAGGCCTACTAACGCTCCGGTTAAAAGATACGATTAAGGAACAGAGGTTCATGGCCAAAGGGGTAGAGGAAGACCTAAGAAGACTTTAGAAGAGACTCTAAAAAAGGATTTAGAATACTTGGATCTAACGAAAGACATGGCACACAACCGAGTGGAATGGTTTTTTAAGATTCATATAGCCGACCCCATTTAATAGAAAAATGCTTTGTTATTGTTAAGGTCATAGTAAATAAGCGTCTAGAAGTTAATCATACTTTCATTTATATTGTGCATGATTTGTTATCATACTTCTGAAAGGTCGTATTATACACCAAGATTATGAGTTAAACACACGGCAAACAAGAATAGAGGAGATCTTTTGTCAAAAGTGGAAAATGAATTTGACAATCCTTAATGAAAGCATAGCAAGTTGTACACTCTTACTTAGTATATTCAAAATGAGATTAACACTAGGCTCAATAAATCATAAAAGATTAACTTAGGTATTGTGTTTAATTGAGATTTTCTTTTGAGCTCGAGAAGAAAAAAGATAAGAGGAATCAAGGTAAAAATAGTTGTTCCTATAAAGGGGAGATTGGCATGAGATGAGCTAGTTGGGGGTGGAGGCCGATAGGAAAAAAAAAAAAAAAAAAAAAAAGGAGGAAAAACTAAAACTCCGTGCATCCAGTGCACTCATTGTAGTTTTGCTACTTCTTTCAGGTGTAAGATTTTATCATAAAAAGTCTATGTATTAGTTGGAGTGGGGTTATGATATTTAGTCTTCTTTTTCTCTGTCTCTGCCCAATGTGGGATATTTCAACAAAGACTAGTTATTATCGTTATTATTTTAGTAGAGCTATAGCATTAGTAGGTTAAATAGTTATTTATGTCACGCCCAGATCTCGACATACATCAAGAATCGACACGTGACAAAAGGAAGTAACGTTCGTTGAATATGTCATAAGTTACAAAATGAAATACTTTAACAAATAACCCAAAATAATTATGAGGGTGGCTATGTACACTCCAACAAGAAACACAACCCTCCCTAGACTAGGATCAAGTCCGAGGTGCTCAAAAGAAAGTCCCAAAAAATAAAGTACAAGAGAGGGGTAACCCTAACGCTCTAAGTCTCCGATAACTGCACTGCTACCCCCACCTATGGACCTCTCGGAGTCTACTCAGACTTGTCACCTGTATGATCAGTGCCTACACCATCGGAATGGTGCATCAGGCAAACAACAACCCGAATAAGCTGCGAACCTCGTGTGAGTGACAATAATGCAAAGTATGTGATAATAATAATAAAACCAGCTATCAATCACAATTTATAAACCTCAAATATAATTCATTCGTAAGAAATCAATATCAAGTCTTTGAAATCTCCGAATGAGTCACCCAGACATCCAACAGTTTTTCTAAATCAAAACACAAGGTTCTCAAAACTATAGTTCACGGAAACACTAAAAACTAGGGCTAAAGTGACGCAGTTCGTCCGAAGCCTACATAAGTAACCAAACAGGAAATGGCCCCTATTGCAGATTAACCAAGCAGAGCCATTCCTTGCATTAACCAAGTAGGCAGTGACCCCCTATCACGGATTAACTAAGCAGAGTCACTCCTACACATCTGTTAGGCAGTGATTACCTATCGCGGATTACCAAGCATGATCACCCCTAAGTTTGTGTATGGCCATACCAAAGATATAAAGATCGCCTATCGCGGATTAACCAAGCACAATCCATAAATAGTATGGTCCTTTATCGCGAATTAACCAAATAGGACCATCCATGTACCACTGCTACATGGTGCAAACTCGACGTTAACTAACCCCGTGACACGAGGGTAACAGTCCTCTACTAGCCCTCATGTTTATTAAACAATCAAATACATATTTTAAAACACAATTCATAAACAGCTCAAATATCCAAGTCACATAACATTTCATAAAGTAGATTGATGGCACACTTTATAAAAACAATTATTTATCATAAAAACATATTTTAGAAATCTATGGTACATCCACAAAGTATACTAGCATGGGAGTTTTCAGGGTAATAACTATATCACATATATTAAAGTCACTCACCTGGGATCCGCGCTAACGCACCCAAGCACGAGAATCAAGGTGTCACGCTCTATCGCCGCCTTAAACACAATATAAGCCCACATTTAGAATTTCTTCAATAATTCATATAACCATAGCTTCAATAGGTTCCTCTTAATAATATTTTAAGAGAAGTTGAACTGTCGCTCAAAGGTAGGGTCTACTATCCTTCGTCACTTGCTCCGTAAGATTCAACCACTAGATTTTCGATTTGTAAGTTCCTAAGGTCCTTAAATATTACGTACAATAATAGCTCAAAGTTTGATGGTGATCCAATGGTTGGATCATTGTTTGTTAGAATATTCAAGTGGTGGACCTTAACGAAAATATACTCAAACGATAGAATTCTATTAATCGGATGTCAAATATGGAATCGGGGAATCAAATGTACCTTAGGGTGGTCAGGGGGTGCCTCGGCCCACGCGCCGCCTGACTAGCCAGAAATTCGACTTTTTCCAAAAATTTCCAAATTTTACAGGAATGAAGATCTCAACGAGTAGAGTAAGTTTTATACCTGTGACCAAGTCCAATTTGACCGGAAAAAGCTCCAATTTCACTTAAACCCGCCAGAAACCCTAGAATGGGTGAGCTTCGATTCTCCTTCCTCAGTGCTCCGACGCCCCTAAAACTGGTTGATCTTGTTCCTGGGTCCAAGGGGAGTTGATTAAGGGTGGTAGTGGGTGGTTAGACTCACCGGAATGGCGGAATCGCCATCAAAACTCCACGGTTCACCCACACGATTTTACACGGTTTTGGACTTAAAAATCCTCAAATCTGGGTGAATAAGGTAAATGGGGGATTGTGGAAGGGCTTGCAGGTGTTGGATGGGTGAAGATTGCTTGAAAAAATGGTGGAAGTGGCCGGAAATCGCTCGATCAGAAACGGGTTGCTGCGCGGGGATGGTAGACGGGAAAAGTGGGGTCTCTCTCTCCTCTCCTGATTGGCTGCTGCCTTCCTTTCTAATTTTTAATTGGTCCCTTCTCCTTCTAGCTGATTGATCCACTTAACCCATTAACCGATTGAGCCGAAACCAAGCCCTTGATTAGTTCTCATTCCCACCTAGTGGGAGTTTACTTAATTTATAAACTAAAATTTAAATAACAATTCAAATGTCCGTAACTATACCATTAGAATCCGGACTCGCAAACGACTTTCGTCCATGAGCTCATGGTTTTGAGATTTGTTTAAAAACACTAATTGTGACTTCAAAAGGTCGACGAATTTTAAAGATTAATTACGAAAATTCAAACCGAATAACTAATCGATTTAATTCCTAAAACTAACAGAGTTAAAATTAACTAATGAAAATAACGTAAACATGAAATACGAATTTAAATTACGAGATACGTAATGAATAGTAAAATTCCAAGGACAAGATTTCACGATTTGACAAGGAAAAGAAAATCGATGGGAATCAAACTCGGTCTATATAAAAAAAAAAGTATAGTTTGATTTATATGAGTACTTTTAGCTTAAAATTCTTTTGGGAGTTTTGCACGTCGCCCATCCGTAGGAAAATTCTTGGCTCACCGGCATTATTTGGTAGCTCTTCCAAACACCTTCAAGCAATCATTGGTTTTTGACATTTTGTTGAGCAGGTTTACAAGCTACAACGGACCCTTCTTTTTAGGGAGGTTCATGGAGGCATTGCATAACAACCAGGGTCGTCTTTAAGATTTTAGGGGTCATGTGCGAAATTTATAAAATGACCTCTTCTTAAGATAGGTTTTTAAGAAAAAGTACCCATGCATCAAAATTTCCTTGCCAAGCTACATGAAACAGATTTTCGGAAGTCCACAAACAAATTATTGCTAATTGCCTGAAATGAAAGGTAAAAATATTTTGATAAAAACGTTCCTCAGTAATATCATCATGACTCTTGAAGTCTTGTGCGGTAGCAAGACCAAATCAAATACGATGAGTAGTAGGGTCCTGAGCTAAGCCTTGGCTAAACCTTGGAAATATTAATGTCATAATGCCCTTCAAATCCTCCTAGTCATTATCCTACTGCAATAATTATTGCTAAGAAGAACGCAAGACAATGTACTGATGCTAGAAAGTAATAACTTAAATAAAAACAAACTTAAGACTCACTGATTGTAAATTTATAAATGTCATTAAATAATAAGTAAAAGAACTACAAATATAACCTTCAAAAACTCTAACTTGAAAGTTTCACTTGAATATATAACATTATTTTATAATAGAATTGAAAAAAAATCGTTT